GGGGCGGGGCGGGGCGGGGCGGGGGTTTCTTTTGAGCTCATCTCTCCCAGTACTAATGTGTATGAATACAAATGACAACCGAAACAGACGTTTGATGTTTTCTGTCTTACACACCAATGGAGTCACACACACACACAGAGTGAATACATCCGAATTTCAAAACGTTCCGCTCGGTCTGTTATCAAACAATGCAAGTCCCCATACACTCGTATCGCTGTCAACGTTTTCATTCAACAGAACACGATAACAATAAATGAGGCACACACATCCACAATGTGTACAATCAGAAAGAATTCCATATTTCTGCCTATTTGTGGTAAGGNAAATGTATTTTCGTCTGTTTATGCTTGGGCGCGCGCGAGAGAGAACGGGGCATAAGTTAATCACCATTATTTTATCTAATAAAGCCTAATAAAATTACCTTTCCACTAGAAATCAACAGTGTATCATGAACCTAATACGCATTCGTGTCCTTTGTGTCTGACATTCCAATTCACAGCTGCTCGAATCCCATCATAACAATATATGTGTTAACCCCCATATACGCCTCCCCTCATGAGCCCCCTCCTCCCATCTGATCATCGTCCTGTGTTCTTTTCCCCCGCCTTCCTCGTTTCAACCGCACACACAGTTACCGATTTCAAGTCTTCGCTCGAGATCACGGCACGCCCACAGCGCTTACCTCCACTGCCAGTGTGGAAGTGACTGTGCTGGATTTGAATGACAACAACCCAGAATTTGTCGGTTTGGACAGTGAGAGCTGTTACAAATTTCGTGTGGCCGAGAACGAACCAGCCAACACACACGTGGGTGAGTGATCGCGGTTTATTCTTTACTGTTCACGTTACTCTGCACGGATGGGTGTGTGACGCTGACTGGGGACGGGGAGAGGAGGAGCGGGTAACCACAGAAAGCTATACTACGAGCTAACCTGGAAAACATCTATAGCTGTCTGGTGGGAATAGGATTCACTCCATTTGTGATGGGGCTCCGCACTTTCTGATCCGCGATAATTTTGTTTATCAATGCTGATTGAAAGCACCGCACAGTTTTAACTTCCTAGTTTAAACTCATCTGCAGTGCATTCTACGCTCCAGTCCGTTGAATATTGCACTCTCAAACGGCAGTATTTTAAAAGTTCCCCATCCCAAACCAGTTGCAGTTTTTATAATACAGTTTCAAAATGTCAGCAATAGAAAGAAAATTCTCCAACGGTGTTTTTGAAATGAGACAAAGAATGAGCTTTAAAATTTATTTAAACCCTTACTCGTCAGTCACTTCTTCTCTAACTTTCTCTTGGGGTACATTGTGTTTATACGTTTGATTATAGTCTTTGTGCTTATCCATCATTTGTTCACTCCGGCCGGATCAAGTTATTTCCTGTAGACGTAAAAAATAAATGAACAGTTAAACGTTTCTACTTGGCTTATACGACTGAATTTCCTCGAGAAAACTTTGAACTAATAAAAGCAGGTTATCCGTGTGAAAATGTGTCCCACTTTAATGCTGTCGTTATTATACGATTGTAGTCTTGAGGTGAGGCTGTATTATCTTTGATGTTTCCACCTGTCTAAATGTTGACATCCAGCAACCAACCTGGTCCATATTCGGTCTTCAAGGAACAGTACTGCTTTATAGGAAACACCTTTACTGTCTGAACACGGAACGTTCCATGGATCTTCCTAATATTTCAAACTACGGAAAAACAACCTTCATCACCCTAGTACTTGGTGATTAGCGATGTAAAGTGGAATGCGACTGCCAAAGTGCCTTTAATTTCCTTTTCAAAGTTCATCAAAATAAATACACTACCATTCGACTTTGGGTGCACGGTGAGGTTATGCTTCATGCCCGGCCTATGCGGCAACAAGTGATTCAACAGTGATTCAATACGCACCTGAAGCCCTGGATATTAGCTGATAATTTCATCAAGTGCAACGAAAAATCAAAATCTAACCACACCAAATGCTCTGCTTTGCCCCAGGGGGTTCTCCGTTAGGAATGGGCATCGTTGTTTAATAGATGGAGATAGCTTTAGGAGTACACATTCGAGAGTAAAGAATTGCTCACAATGATTTATTATTTAGCCGATACCCACTGTATACGAGCGCAAAGCATGTACGTAGCATGGTTGGGTTTCATTAAGTCAAGGACAACGAGTGTTTGGATCGCATTGGGGACATGAATAAGGAGTGAGTCATCAAAGGTGGTCCGCACCCATCATGAATAATAAATTGTTCCAACCGTGCAAGCGTAGTGTGAAACATGGTTTGTATAATCATTTTTCAGTCGTGTTAGTTGTAATGCAAGATCTTATTGCTTTTGTGCGTAATCGTTCCACCTTCGAGTGTGTTCTTTTGGCGTACTGGGCACATCTTAAATTACTGCAAACAGTGTCTTTGTAGTTCCCTCAAACTTCTGGACGTCTGTCCCTCTTCATTATGAATAAGCTATATGCTTTTATGTGGTATATAATTGTTTCCAGTGATCTTCGCATTTTACCAACAGATTCATCCTACATATGCGAACCGGGAAAAAATCACATCTAATGTTTCTTCTACTCTGATACCGATCAATGAAAAAAATGGCAGGATGCCGAAGCGTGAGAATGGTATTCTCGAAACTTCAGTTAAACTGTAGACCCAAACACGACTCTTCCAAACTTTGATGTTGGATCGACATTCACCTATCATGTCATACTTGCTGTCTACTGACTTACAGTAGACTAGGGGACAAGTCACAGTCCTCATCTCCCCGAGAGAGTCGTCTCAGAGTCGTCTCCAATCCAGTTTCACAAATCTTTGATTGGACTGATCGAAGGGACCATGAGCCGGTCTTTGTAAAGTTATACGTGTACGATAAGTGAACACTGTTCAGGTGTAGAAAATTTCTCTGGTAGCTATACTCAACAGAAGCAAGATGAGTTAGATGAGGAACCTTTAGGTGAACTTGAACATTTACAATGGAGAGATTGTTTACCGATCCAAGCTGCTGAACAGGACCAGACCTGAGAGCACTGAAAGAGTGTTTAACAGTCCTGGAATCCAAATATCGTAGTCCGTCGCTTTGAGGCAGTAGTTAAACCGATCTAGCCCTCTTTTCACTGTTCAGCTTTGATGACTAAAATGCTCACGCTGAGCACGTGACCTCTGGCAATCGCAAATTCCGAGTCCACTTCAGACAGCCTTTACTTTCATGAGTATCACGTGATTTACTGTTAGGAGTCGAACATCCACAACTTTCTGACCTACCTAAGAAAAACATGGTTACTGCTAGCACAACCGTAGACTGTTTCATGTTAACGTACAAATGGCTTTGGCCGGATTCACATACACCCCGCGACGAAAGTACTGTACCCGTCCACCGCGAGGGTCTTGGGATTATCTCTAATCCCTCATGCATAATCACCATTTTTCAGAATTCGTAGACGGTATTTGAATGAAATCAAATTGCCTTCTTTGGTAACGAAAACATCGCAAATGCACACTTTTCACCGCGAGAAAAGTATTGCACCCCCATCTGGAATTTGTTCTCTGAAGTCAGCTTATCACCGAGTACACTAGCTATTACTTCCCTCGAAGTTCTACACACTTTCGTGGCATACTCTGTATCAGATTCCTGATCATATCTGTATCGATATTCTTCCACTCCCTAATTATCAATGCCTCTAACTCATGCTTCGGGGTGTACACTCAGGAATGTTGGTGACACCTTTTGGGTAGCAATAAGCCATATGTTTTCTGTGTCTTTATCATGCCATGACAACACAATGAATGACTAGTAAGGATTTACAGGGGGAAAAGGATGGAAAGTAATTGAAGCATTCACCAATTTGTTTCATAATTGGTCCACAATCATCACTTGCTCTGATGTTTCATGACAGGTCACTTGTCGGCAATCCGGCCATGGGAGCTTGAGTGCTTGCACAACTTGTTTCTGAGCACACAAAGGGGGTTGTGAAAACGAATGTCAACTGCCTCCGCTGTGGCTAGAATACGAAACCGCACGTGTCTAGACAGTCCGGTCATAACTCTATATAGGAGTCGGAACGCTTCGGTCATGTTTACACTGTGATTAGTGTCGAAAAGGCGCTACACGACCGCACTTTTGATCGACTTAATTGCTCTACTTCACAACCACGCAGAGTGATGCTCACGGATGCGCTCGGACAGACGCCTGGTCGTGCGGCCAACATACTTTGCTCCATAGGAACAAGTGAAAGAGTAAATACAGAAAGAGGCAGCAGAATCAGGCAATCTATCCTTTAACCGTAGAGCTGGTTTGTCAAATTGTGTTCTCATTATGAGCTCCGTCGGTTTGTTTAAACAAATGTTTTCTGTTGAGTTCAAATCGAACGTGCACAATAACCATACCACTGTTTCTATGCCTCAAAATAATAACCAGCATTTAGTTCGATAGTGTTATGAATTACGGCATTATGATGCTACAGAACAGCTTCAGGATGATTAGCTTCAGCTCACAAAGAACGTTTTTCGGATTGTAAAGTTGTTGAAGCTGCACGTCTTTGCATTTTCTTTGAGTTTTGTTGTATCGTTCGCACTGAAACGTCCAACCCAAGCGTCGATTTTACGTCCGATACGTCACGGACACTAAGGCCCTACGTAGCAATCTGTTTTTATCTTTCACCGAGAGGTTTTTCTGATGTCCAATCTGTTTAAGACTTAGTTTTAGCTGGCACAAATTTAACTGTTGTGCTAAAATGGATCTACACCTAGAACATCATCTGGCTATCTCGTGTATGCCGGTATTTATTTTACGGAAGGCGTCAATCTTCGGATCCCTGGTTATCACTAAGCCTCTTTCAATGCTCCATAGTTGACAATAGCGTGAATTGGCCATTTTTGATACATTCACTCCTTGAAGATCATGTAGATTCACGTGAGTAAATGACCGATGTTACCAAGGTGTCACAGGACCGTAGCTTACACCCGTGTGTAGACCTTTGAATCGCCAGACTGCCAGTTTCCAGGCTGAAGTACAAACTGCGGATGGCGTACGATGTCCAGGAGGTGAGGGGAGTGTCATACTTTTGTAGCGGTGAGAAATGTGGATTTGCGATAGATTTTCGTTACCGTAGAAGATAATTTAATGAAATTCCGTACGCCCAGCCTTTCATTCGGTTGTTATCTAGATCCTCAAAGAATGGGTGTGGAGATAATCTGAAATTCCGCGGGAGGGAGGGGGGATTTTCTTGTCTTGTGATTCGTTCTGGACTGTCGTTCTGGGGCCACAGAACTATGGTCTATTCAAATTCATCCAGAATAATTTAGCCAGTTTACGATCAGGTCACAGGCGTGAATCACCAAAGGGGCAGACACAGGCATTCATCACTCGATTAGAATGTTACGGGAAGGCACGCTTCAATGATGGATTTGTTCATCTGTGATAACCATTCAGCCGACTGATTCGTAGCTTGTAAAATTAATCCAGTAACCGTTGTCATAGCGTTGGGCTTTTGCCATTTTTATCCCGGTATTTCTTTTCCTCCGCGTGATATATGTGGAACTGACTCTCACTTAACAAACAGAAATAGACAGTTGTTATCTAATCCTAGTAATACAGAATTCAAGTAACAAACAAATGGAAAAGTATGGAGAAAAAGAAGAACAGCTTTGTGGTTTTTTTTTCAAGAAAAGGTTGGGTGTAAGCGGAACACACAGCGCGCCGAATGATCAAATTTATCAGCAATTGAAAACTCGGGGAAGTCCTCATGGTTAGCAGAAGGTTGCAACAATTTAAATATTGATTCTATTCGCTTTTCGAACGAACCAATCGGCAGTTTGAAAATT